CTAGGTAGAAGGCCGCGGGTTTTGGCCTTAACTGGGTAACGTTGGCTTCCCTGATGCTAATTGCCTTGCTACCTACCTACCTAGGTAGGTAGGTACATACATCCTGTACGTAATTACGTTAGTGTATGCGATCGGTAGGCATTACACGAGGCATTATTAAATAATAAATTCCACCGTTACCGCAGTCTAGAACAAGGGCGGAAGCTCGAGTGTCGTAATCAGATGGTAAAACCATCCACCTTCTGCTCAAACCGCAGTGCTACCAGCTACAGCAGAGAAAACATTTTCCACCGGTCGAGAACAGTACGGCCAGATGCCAATGATGCAGACACTTCAAGGCATGATGTAATCTGGAAAGAACTGGAAGGAAGGATACATGAGAACGGGAGAGAGTCAGCGTTCACCTCGCGTCTTTGCCTCTCCGGAACACCCCTGGGAAAATGCCTGAGCCCCTTCAACAACGTGTCTCTGGATTTATTTTTATGTATTACATATGGTCTCGTCATCCACCACCGTGATTGAGTGCCGAAATTCTTCAGGCCACGGGACATTTCGTAGGGTGTGGAGGGTGCATTTGCCATGGGCTGCCTCGGGGCAACTGATTCGCCCGCTCCCACCGGATCGACCTCTGCCTCCCACCTTCACCCACATTCTGGGCCCCACTTCCCGGCTGGTCCAAGCTAGGTAGGCGCTCGCCCCTCCAAGGGACTAAGATCCAAAGGGGTAATTCAGCTCTTTCCTGGTTTTGATTTTGATTTTCCGCCGTTGTCTTCCATTCTCTTCTCCGTTTCTTGTCTCTTCTTTCTGACATTGTCTCCAACAAGGTAAATGTACCAACCTTTTCTTCCGCGTGGAGGGGGGGGTCAAGGTCTCGATCCGTGCTAGCGTTGCCTGCTAAATTGCTAAATTGGCTCTGCAGGTGGGGAAGACTGCGGCCGATGTCAGTCGGCAGACAGGGCTACCCTGTTTAAGTTAAGCCTCTAGGCTAGGCTCGCTCCAATTAATGAGATCCTTTCTGCCCGGTCCCCGGTTCGACTCACAGCCAGGTGGAGTGGGGCAGGATGCAAATGGGAAACAACCAAGTGGCCGGCCATATGGACGGAAGATAACTCTCCCATTCTCATGCTCTCGACTACGGTGGTATTGCCAGGGTGCCCGGCCCTGATCGGCATACGGAATGCCCAGCATGGCATCAAATATTCGAGGAGAAGCAGAGTGTCTCCCGAAGTAGCACTCCCTGCCTCCCTATGGAGGCAAAACCGGTTGATAAACGATTCACCATGCGGGCATGCAGTCATCATATAGACCGAGATTGTGGACTCTGATGGAGCCCAGGCCAGTATCAATCAGGACTTCCATTTCGCTGCGGGAAGACAGGGATGGGCAATACTGCGCGGACCTTGGCTGTTATTGTGACATCGTGACAATATCACGAATTCCCTAGCACTCTATCTCCGTACTCCGTACAAACCATCCAAAACCTCCACCCAATAAACTAAGTTTAGCATGGGACTCGGGCGGTATCCCTTTCTGATCGAAGCAAGGACAGTCCAATTGAGATGGAGGTGAGTACATTTCCGGCCAAGTGGAGGACTAAGCGACTGGGAGTTTGGTACCTGGCATTTCCACCAAAGTATAAACTTGACCCCCGAGGTCAGTTTATAAGGTCCTGCTAGCAGGCCATGTTGAGGAGAATTGCGTGGTTTTGGCGCGCGTCCGCCAAATTCTATTCCGGTCGGGAGTAACCGTGGACAGAAAGCTCGAATTCGGTCCAGAAAGCTCGCCCGCCGGGCGGCCTTGATTCTCCTCCCCAGAAGTGACCTCTTGGCGTTGGACTCCTGTATTCTTTTTTTCTTTTTTCATTTCCCCCCTCTCTCCTCCTTTCCCTTTACGCTCGCAGTAGTGCACATCTGTCTAATGCTTGGCCAATTACGCCCTGCCTGTGGTCCCGAATACTTTCCCTCTTTCGCTCTTTTCTTCTCATTTCTGTTCTTTTTGGGTTCCCATCTAAAGTAGTTTGCCCCAGTGGCTGTCATTCCGTTTTCACTTTTTCAGGATAGCACGGCTGATGTTACTACTTTTTAGTTCTTATTTTGATCTTTTCTGTTTAATTCTCCTCCTTCCAGTACGGAGTACTCCGTAAGATACTAATCGATATTCCTTCAGGAAGTGATTGTGGTGTCCACTTGACATGTACCTAGGTAGTAGTGATGGATTTGGACACGCAATGCCAAGCAATGATACATTTGCTCGCTCTCTTCCTTCGTATTCTCCCCTAAACCGTTTAATTTCGGGTCACGGTAGTATCCATTGTGGCTTCGTCTTTTTACTCCGTTTGCCATTTTGTTCTTTGCTTTTTATTGTCCTTTTTTTTATTTCTCCTTCCAGTCTGTCAGATTCGTACTCCTCGTATGTACTCAGTTCGGTCTCCATTCTACTGGCAAAAGTCGCTGTACATAAAAGGAGGGGTTACCTGCCTAGTCATAAGTTGCATACGCCGAACTAACTATCAGCATGCATTCTTCAGCGTCCTCTGTACTCCGTGGGGATGGGGAAACCACTTCGAAATTATTTCGATTCATATTTTTTTTTTTTTTCAGTGGTATGAAAAATGTAGGGAATATGGTTTAGCTGCCCTACTCCGTATACACACATAGCATGGGACTTGATGGACCAACCCAATCAATGGCCCAATGCTGTTGAAGGAAGGGGGCACCGTATTTTGTTTACTGGGAGTTTTCAATAATTTTCAATTTTCGATTTTAGAATTTTGCTCATATTCCCATAGTAGTAATACCTGGTCATAATACTGTGTACGCAGTAAAAGTCAGTAGGAAATCGAAGAATCAGTAATCGTCATTTTCTCATGGTAGTAACCACCTAAAATGCAATTCAATTGAGCCAAAATCGGTAGACTTCCGGGGCAAGACACATCTGGCAATCTATCCTTATCCCGATGTTCCTTTACCACTTCGCCCCTACCTTCCCTTCAAGAATCAGAATAGGAGGGTGATATTTCCGGTCCCATCATTTATAGTTATTCTTATTGTATTCCGTATTTGAACCTCGTACAATGATAATATTACTAAAATAATAATAATTGTTCAATGTTAATTTGATACTATGACTATTGCAATGATAATCATGAGCCATGGCCGAATACCAGGTTAGTACTAATTATATTATCCTGTTAACCGCTGCGTCCCATCGTCTTCCGACTTGAAGGCACAGGGTCCTTGTCAGCACTTTTCCTCCTCCCCCCCCAAAGTTAACAGGTAGTATTATCATTTTTCCATCCATCCATTCCTTACCATTCATTCTCTTTACGGCTCTTCTACGGAATACTCTTTGTCCACTTTATCTAACTCCTCAATTGATTTGACTGTCCTCCTTGGCTCCAGTCACGACTACGCCTCTTTTCTTCCACCCCCCCTTAAGCATCCATTCGACTTTTCCCCTTCCCTCAAAAAGAAAAGTGACCAGGCAAGAAGATTATTTCTTGAACCAAAAAAAGAAAAGAAAAAAGGAAAAAAGGACAGTACATAGTGTGAGTATGTCGAGTATTTCTACAATTTCAATTATATTCGATGCTATTTAAAAATTTCCTTGACTCCTGCCCTTGACTCCGCCCCAACTTCATAGTCTGAACATCATCGATAGCTCCCGCTACTAAACTAGCCTTTTCCACTGGATCTGGTCCCAATCTTCTCAGGGAACTAGGTAACCACCACTGGCACTGTACTCCGTGACTGATTTTCTGCTGCCACGACTTCTCGCTCTTTTCTAGACCACTCTCCCGTCTCTGGTTTTTTTTTTTTTTTTTACCCTCTCTCCCCTTCCCTTCTTCAAAATCTCCGTTGCTATTGCCCACACCCCTCCTTCTCTCCCCTCTTCCCGTCCTTCCGAACCGTTTCCCCTAGTTATCTTTCTTTTCTGTCTTTTCCACCCCTTCCATTCCACGCGCCACCCCCCCCCTGGCAGCAGCGTGGTTTTCGCTGGGCCCTCCGTCGGTCGGACCCTCTTCTCTTAAACTTCTTCCTGCCCAATTGTTCGCTCTCTTATTTTCGTGCCACGTTCTACTGCACCTCCCGAGCGTTTGCGCCTTCGCCTAAGGTAAGCTCCTGTGCGATCCATCATCTGCGAACCATACCCTGGACTTATTGGTCCAGATTTTAACTGTCATTATTTTTCCGTCATATTTTTTTTAAATTTAATTTATTCTTTTTCTTTTTCTTTTTTCTTTTTTTCTTTTCTTTTTTTTTCATCTTTTTTTTTTCGGTTTCCAAACTAATACGATTTTCCTGTTTCCCAGTACCAGAAAGATTTACCGCCTTTTTTTATTTCCCTTTTTTTTTTTTTTTCTTCTCTCCCTCCCACCCCCGAACTAGCAGCTACTGGGGCGGTCTCGACAATACACTTAATTTCGGTCATTACTACTCCATCATCGGGAATTCTTCACCATCCATCCTTCTTTCACCTGATTTTCGCCCACCTCGCCCCTCCGTTGTCACTACTCTGACAACAAGTCGCGTTGTTATTCTTATCCAGTGTTCAATTACCACGCGGCCGACACCGTCGGGTTTCATTTTACTGCTTGTGTGGACCGAGATCGGAGTCATCCGAATATTCTACCAAGTCGCGTCGCCGAGTCGAACAACCGCCGTACGAAATAGAATCCGAGTCAACGTTGAGCAGTTTTCTCGGGGGCGAAATCGATATTGCATATCACGAACCGTCCTGGCAACTGCTTTATAGTTACACGGACTATTATTTCCTTGCTAGTGGACGGAGATTCTATCTCACCGAACCATCTGCCGATTTCGATCCCATTATTCGACCTGCTTGCCTTGCCGACTTGCGGAACATGAGATAGTGCGAAGCGCGATATATCCGACATAACCCTTCTCGTTTCATACCAGGGCGCCCCTTGAATTCCTACCTTAACCGACCTCGATACCTTTCCCGGACTTTGCTTTTTCCTTCATTTTTGTATTTCGGCCATGGAAGCAACACTTACCCACCGTCCATGGGAGCCGGTCTCCACGGGGCCGCAGACTCCTCAGGTCCCTTCGACGCAAACACTTCCATCGATATCAACCCTTACTGCGAGTATGACAAGTACCGCACCCCCACCCGCGGAGAAGTCACCAGGCCATACTTCTTTGAATACGATTGAGCGGGACTCGGGGAACTGGTCCATTGCTCAGAGCGCAAGTGAGTCCTGTTATTGTCTGACTATACACCTCTGATTTTAGGCTGACGTGCATCATAGGGTCGTCTACCTATTCTACCGCAACGAACGGTACCGGCAATTACCCATCTTTATCCTTTCTCACCTCCACGCATCCGTCTCCAAACCGCTTGTCTGCCGTGTCTGACCGGTCCCCTTACGCCAACGATCACTCTAATACCAATACTCCCTCCTCTGCCGGAGCACAGCCGTCTCCTCACTTTGGCTCATCCCAGCCCAATTCGGCACTTCCGTCGATCAATCAAAACTATGAAGCCCCCTCTCAACGCGGCAGTATTGCCGAACCGCCGGAATCGCGCCGCAGCAGCATAGACAGCAGGATGAACCAGGGGATCAGCTCGCTTGCCATCAATCCCGTTTCCGCTTCGCCTTATCATAGCACGAATGCCTCGCAAACGTCGATTGTATCGGGCCTGCAGAGGGAACGAGGCATCTCCATGGACGTGAACATGAACCCTTCCTACCGGGGACCTCGTTACTCGCAGGGTCAACCTTTATCCCCGCTTGGTCCGCGACCTGGCGAGCATCGCAGTTTTGCGGCTGGCCGCACTGCGCCCGCGATCTCGTCGAACCCTCGCTCCGAGATTTATAACGCCGAGGCTCCAACCGCCGGTCTTGCCTATGCGTTTCCGGATCCGGATGTTGCTCGGTCAAACTCTATGTCGTCCACAAACGACAACCCGAATATTCAGTTTTCGCGAAAGGGAAGCACCGCCGAATCTATAACTAGCAGTATCTACTCTGAATCTCGTTTGCCTCGAGGCCAACACGGTGCGTCGTTTTTGTCCCGTGTTTTGCGCTGATTATTTTGTACTGACTCTTGTGATAGAACTCCCCCAGAGTGTTCACCACCATTCCCTACAGCACAAACAAGTGCGCGGTCTTATCGGAGACCCCGACCTTCAAAATGGCAATACTCCCTACAGCAGAACGCCTGAATTGAGAGTGACCCACAAGCTGGCGGAGCGCAAGCGTCGCAGTGAAATGAAGGACTGTTTTGAGGCTTTACGGGTGCGACTCCCGCAGAGCCAAAATAATAAATCAAGCAAATGGGAGACTCTGACTCGAGGTCCGTCGGGGGGGGGGGGGGGGGGGGGGGGGGGGGGGGGGGGGGGGGGGGGGGGGGGGGGGGGGGGGGGGGGGGGGGGGGG